AGCTGCCTGATGACATACTCTACCTCGTCTTCCATATCTGTGGCGTACGCTGGGACCGCGCGCAATCAAGCTCTGCACAAGCTTGCAATCTCCCAAAACTTGTTCGCACTGGCGACAGCTTCACTGTCATGTTCCCTCAACTGGAGCCGCGTGGATCTGTCAAACATACCGGAGAAGTTGGCGCGGCTACTGTGTGAGCACAGCGGCAATTGTGCTCTCAGGTTCAGCTGGCCCGTCTCTTTATACGCGACACCCCGTAGCGAGTTTGCCGTCAAGCTCTGTACCGAGAACTTGCTGCAAGTTACGGAGCTCAGCCTCGTTGCAACACGAGTCCAGCTCGTGCCCTGGGTGTATGAAGGCAGCGCTCCACAGATACACGAGGTCTTTCTGCAGAATGCAGACGCATTTGCGTACGCCCCACTGATCCTTGATTGTCCCCTGTTCCGTGGAGAGACCCCGCACTTGCATCACCTGTCCCTCGTGGGCATACGCATACCGTGGGCTACGGGCAATTACCGCAACCTTCGCACGCTCAGGATTCAACGTTGTAATGTTGGCTGCGGCGTTGCTGCTGATGTCGACCTCTGTCATATCTTTCTCAACTCACCAAACCTCGAGACTCTTATTCTGTCCCTGCGCACGACTCTCAATTGGGACGTTGGAGACGACGCGCTGCTGCCGGAGCACGGTGACATAGAACGCATCCCAGTGCGGGCGCTACGCTCACTGGTGCTTGAACTTCCTGTTCCTTATGCAAAGCACCTCCTAGCATCCATCGCGCTCCCTCCAACACTCATCCAACTTCGTCTGTGCCTCGAGCCTCCACTCACCCAACCCTCAACAGTTCTGACGCTCCTCGATCCTTCTCTCCTCCCGTCCTGCATCTTCAGCCCTACGACCCGTCTGCATGTGCTTGACAGAACCTCCGACGGCAGCATACAGATCTGCAGGTACACCTCCGCGGGCGCCGCCGAGACGCCGTGGTGGGAGTACGGTTGAAAGCACCGGAGCCGCCTCCCACGGAACACACTCGAAGGAGTCACGCGCGCGCTGCACGCGCGATACGCCCTCCCACACGTGCACACCGTCGTGCTTGTTGCTGAGAACGGCTGCTGCCAGGACGCCAGCGGCGCGCTGCCGCTCCTCGCGCCTCTGCATCAGATGACGTGCCTCCGCGCGCTCACGTGGTTGTCGCGCGTGCTCTGCGCAATGGCGCAGACATGCGCAGACAAAGGGCAGGCGCCGTGGGGCGCGCTTCAGGAGATTGAGCTCATGGTGGCGGCGTGCGAGCCAAGCCTGCCCGCGGTACTCAATGCGCTCGTCGCTGTCGCGCGTCGGTCGCAGGCGTTGCGCACCGTCAATGTCACATTTCGGATGCCGGCGTTCGCAGAAGACGAGGTGACCCTCATCTTGGACATGGTCCGTGGAGTCAGGGACATGGGCGTTGTGATCGTGTGTCGGAGGATAGACTCATGTCAGATCCACAGCCAGATCGAGGCTGTCGAGGAGCTCGTTCCCGGAACCTAGTCGAAGCGTAGCGGCATTGATTACGCGTCATCGATTACGAGGTCATGACCTCTGAATCACAAGCTCATGATCCTTGCTCTCAAATCCTGGTGACGACTGGCACTCATCGCCGAGATCAGCTCCGCTTTGCACGCACAACACTTGCCGCAATGCCACCTCATGAAGAAGCATGCTGTCAAAGTCTCTGATAAGCCAATTTTGTCTCCTCTCCTGCCTCGATGACTGATGATCCCACAAACGCGCCAACTAGGATGTCCCTAACTGACACACTACTTGTTCTGCCAAGCCCTGAAAGTTCTTGATCGTTATATCATGCCTGTTGTGTAGCTTCCGGAATATTATCAGCTGGCCCGGCTCGCCAATAATTGGCATTGCTGCGGCATTCCACGCCATTTGTGAGTAGGCTGAATGAGAGCCTGGTGTTTTATTCCCTGTGAAGGTCCTTGGTGGTCCGCGTCGAGTGGGACCTCCTCAAATACTTGTTGAGATGTACATCCCGAGGGTGTCAATCGGGCTGCACCTATTCAGTATCATTGCTCAAGCACCACATAACTACATAATGTACTCGGCAGTGGCGGCGGTAAGTCGCTGCTCTGATAGCGCAGCGCAATCAGGAGTCAGTTGTCCTCATAAACTGTCATGACACGTCCGATCAGCTCATACATGACCCACAACTATATAGTCTCCTCTTTGCAGCCTCTCATGGCTATATACTGTAGCCTCCTCGTTTTAAGAACTTGTCGCACAGGAGCGTACATTTTTGCCCGCGCTCGACACTCTCATACCCAATGGACGCAACCTCCGACGAACTCACCTCACGCTTCCCCTGGCCCGTGCCGCCGCACCCTGCAGTCGTGCCCACGCCGTTGCACCACGCAGGCTGGAGCAGCAATAGTACAGAGGCCGTGCTCGCTAACCTGAAGGACAACCACCAGCAATGGCACATCTTCTTCGGCGATGAGCACTTCCACAAGTGTGTTTTCATCCTGCGTCTTTGCGGGCTTGGGGACCGAGAGCTGAAGCGTGCACTCGCAGCCATGCAGCGCACCACCTGCTTACCATATACACGATGGGTGCACCTGCGAGCTTGCTGAATGCGGCATACCACACGCATGCTGTGTACCTGAAGCCGGCGTTCCAGCCGCCTGAGACCAACGAGGAGCGGATAGCGAGAGAGGCCGCCGCCAAGGTGGTCATCGACGACACCAACTGGAAAGATTACCTGGGAGATGACCGGTACATCCAATCCCACAAAACACTGGCCTTCATCTGCTGACTGTGAGCCAGGTATTACCAAGCCTACGCCTCGTTCTTCTCTAGCAAGCTTCTGGACAAAGCGGCAGGCAAGAACGTCATCCAGCGTGTGCTCGAAGACTATGTCTTCTCCATAGACGCGAACTTGACGCCTGGAAAGAGTGCAAACGGCCAGAGGCCCCTCATCCTGGCACGTTTCCTCAGTGGCTTCATGCATCCGCATATCCACGCCGGTTATGGTGCAGAATTCGGCTTGCCTGGACTCATAGCAGAAGGTAGGCTCCATCTGTCATTTTAGGTAGCATGTGTAAGCTGACTTCACTTCGCAGGCGTTTCCGAGGCTGCGGTGCAACTAAGTGAGGCTGACGCGCTGTTCACACCTGATCTCTTTGGCGCCGCAGCCAATGCCACAGATCTGGCCTCTAAGGTCACATCTCTGGCTTTCTCGTCTGCTGCATCCATCAGCAATGTACATGCGCTCGAAATCATCGCGAGGGTTGCAAATGACCCCACGTTTGCGCCGCACAATATCGGGCGGCTTGTACCAGCGGACGCGGGCAAGAAGAGCATGGACCACGTTGTGCGCATTGGCGGAACGATCCTCGTGGAGTATCTCACCAGCTGGTTCGGGACTGTCAACGAGGACGCGGCAACGCTCCGTGCAAAATTTGAAGAGATGGTGTGGATGAACACGGTCATCTACGCTGTTGCCGGGTGGGCCAAACGCGAGCTGGGCGAGGACGAGACCAAAGAGTTTAATGGTGATTTCTTCCTGTAAGTAAGCTTTACCGCGACGGCACGTAGATGCTGATAAAGCTGCCGCAGAATGCACCTCGTCACCTCCTCTCTTCTTACTTCTTTGCTCCTGAATGTCTTGATACCGAAGTCCGTGGCGCTACTCTTGAAGACCTCCTTTGCCTTGAGCATTGTCCTCTACGTCACGCGCAGCTGTCCTCCGCTGCCGATTGACACGTTCTACGCGCACACCACCACGCACCCACACCCGCCAGGGCCGACACCAATGCCGGACAAGGATATGCTCCCGCCAAACGAGCCGCGCTCGCAGCTGACACCGAATCCGTGGCTCCCAATTGTGCAGATGGCGCTCGTGCACAAACGAGCACCTCTGCAAGACACAGCAGGCACTGTACCACTTTGCCAAGTGGTTCGGCGGCACACGCGCCCGCACCTTCGCGGGCCTTTCCTCGCCCGATCTGAGCAGCCTCGGCAGCGGCGGGCTCACAGGTGCAGAGATGCTCGACGGCACGCTCTTTCTACGTGCGGCCTGGCTTACGGCGGGCCGGCTCGGCTGGATGCGTGAGAGCGAGAAGGGGCGTATGTGGGACGGGATTGCAGAGATTTAGAGAGATGATGTAATGTGTACGATGAGCGAGCGATGAACGCAACGAAAATGTTTCTGGGGACAAGCCCGCCTGTGCGGTGTCAGGGGTGAGAGCCGCCAAGACCAAAAGCGCCGAAGGGGGCTGACTCTTAGACGCCAGAAGGGCAGATCAGCGCATCAAAGCATACGATGCCAAACAATGCAAGCGGGCCCTACTATGTCGCAAAGCTCAGACGTCCTCGACCAGGCACAACAACCAGCTCACGCAATGCCAGTATCATAGTCTGCGGTACAAATTGTCATGGTTTGCTCTTGGAATGCAGGCGGTAGCACCTGGCAATGTACATCGACTGGAATTGGGGAGCTTTCCATGACATGAAGGTATATATCATTGACAAAGTTAGGAATGACAGTAACTCCCTATCTATGAATGAGCTCGCCAGCATTCAGAACTCTTGATGGAAATCAGTCAACATGCGCAACCTTCCAAAGGAAGGCACCCTGCTAATACTGTAGTGTAGGCCTCGTTTATCTACTGTATTCATCCGCCCGCATGCAGCCATGACAGAAAAATCCCCGCAGCTTAAGGAGGCTCGCTTAGACAGATGTCTACAACAACAGCATTGTCTGATAGAGGGACGAGACACAGCTTTTCCGCTTCCGTCGAGCCCGTCTTAATCTGGATTGGCATGTCTGAGTCCTGCGATAGCGTGTCAACCAAGCTCTGACAAAACAGCTGCATGCAGCTCAGAGAAAGGAAGAACATCTGGTTTGACATGCTCAGTGCTTTGGTTTATATGTTGCAGCGGGACCACGCGTATGCCGTGCGCCGCGGCATCCGGATTGACCAGCACCGCTTCAGCAGCCCCGCCATTCTGGTCGCGCAGGTAGTTGCGTGCGTTTAGGTTTGCGAGCACCATGTTCACGTATAGCGCTCTGAGCGGAAATTCGCAGACCGTGAACACCAGACTCGAAGAGCGCCAGGCGATCTGTCAATACGCTATGTCAGCCAGGGGTGTACGACGATTGGACGAGCCTCACGGTACAGCGTACTAGGCACAAGTTGACGGCGGCAACAAGCACTGTCCATGCTCCACTGTTTATCGTTATGATAATGAGCCGCCAGATGAGGCGACGGGAACTTGATGTTCATATCCAGAGGCGATCAATCGCATGAAAGGTGCACAACAAAATGGAGTGTGTACCTTTTTAGGGTCGGTCCACTCATCTCACGGGACAGCAGAGCAATCATCCATACTGTGATCAAGGTGTCAATAAATGCTGAGGCGGCGCGAAGTGTAAGCTCGAGTGACTGAAAAATATCATTTTTATGGTTGGCAGCGGCAGAGAGCGTTAATAAGACATACGGCAATACTGTGGGTAGACAGCGTGGCTGTAGTGCCACGGACATTTGACCTGTTTTGCGGGATCTGAGCAATTCTATGATGACGATGACGAGGAGCAATGTAACACCTGCACGTACAGAACCAAGATACAGTATGCTAGAGGGTGCTCATCAGCGGTTGTAGAACAAAAGGCTGTCTCAGCACTCACTGATCATACCGACTACACGTAAAGCAGAAGATTATTCAAGGTGAGCTTGATGCTAAATTGGTACATCCACGTGTCTACGCACTGATTTCTGAAATTGCAACAAAGATCTGGAAGTGAGGGGCATGAATTTAGGCATCATAACCGACATATATATGCCTCACCACACCACACAAGCATATACAAATCGGCCAGGTTCTTCCCCCTTTGACTATGGAATACTAGGAGGTGAAGTTATGCACCAAAGCTGATACTGACTCACATTTGTAGATGCGAAACAGAAAAAAAATAGCTGCACTGAAAAAGCGGTAAGACACTGATCAGGAATAGATAATTATGCGGCATTTAGTAGGGAATGGTGCGTACGGAAAGCCATTCACAGTGCTATCGCCAGATGTCAGAAGTCAGATATCTAAAGGAATGAGGAGCCATAGGGTGGCGTACAATAATGGCTCTGTCATTGAAAAGAAAGAAAGCAAAGGCAGAATCAGGTGAGTTTCATAAACTCACTTTGAGTGTGAAGCAAGATTTGAACGCACGGTTTAATTACTCGCAGGGCCTGGACTGACCCCCAATTCGTGATGGGAACAGAAAATACTGATGTGCTTATGTTAGCAAATGTAGCACATGTGTAGATACCTGTATTTTTGCCTACATCCAGCCCACGTAACTGCCTCAGTGGCCGTTCCTATTGCCCTGCATGCTATATGAGCATGTGCAGAGAATCTACCAAGAGACAACATTGCTAACTAGTGGTTGAGGGTCCGGTCCAGTCCGGTCTTTTTTTAAAATTGGGTGGGACCAGGACTCAGACTGGTTAAGGACCAGCGTCTGCTTGTGCAGGACCAGACCA